CCAGAATGTCTTTCAATTGCTCAGCTCAAAATGTTGCAAATATAGCTCATTTCACCATGACTGTTTATTACCTGCTTTAAGTTCTGTTGTAAACCAGCTGTTCAAATGTCTGCAGCTTTAAATGCAGCTGAGTGTAGTTAATGTTAAAAGGCTGTCAGTCACTATTTCATACTTGCTCCCTTGGTTGACAACAGTAACAGATAAATATGTACATAAAAACAGCTTTACTGGGATTTCAGATGCACAGATGTGAGCTCAGAGAGCAGGAGAGACGCAAACACATGTCAACACTGGCTGAGTTTAGGTTGCAGTAAGAGCCACCCAATCCTTGCCTATTGGTCACAATATATCACAAATTCCACAGAGCTTTGACCTGTGTGCATAAGATCAAAACTAATGGTAACATTAGCAGCACAATGTGTTTTTTTTTTGTTTTTTTTTTAAAGAAAAGGATAAGCAGTGGGATGCTGCCACTAAAACAAAAGTAATCCAGTGGGTGTTCAGTTTCCCAGATGCTGGAAGTGCATGAAGAGTTTTGTATTCACTTTGGCAGTCAACAGCAGAACATTTGGTGTGCTTCAGTCTGCAACATTTTCAATGTAGCAGACGCAGCTTTAGTGAATAAATAACCTTGGTTGACTGTGAGGCAGCTGCTTATTCTGAATGGCTTTCTGAGGTCCCATATGGTTCTGAGAGAACTTAACTTGATACATATGACTAGACAGCTGCGGATAATGTATGAGACTCTTACAGTCCCATTTGGCTGCCTGGTTATCATATCCTCCATGTGAAAGGAGAGCAGCTCCTTGATCAACAATTTTTAGCCATTTTTGCTTGTATTATGAGCCATAACACTCTGGCAGAATTTCTTTTTAATTCAAAACTGCTGTATTTGATAGATGTCGGAGGTGAGGTTGCAACTTTTTAAGCATCACTTTGTAAGTGTTGTCATGGTTGGCCACAAAAGTCCTACTCTATTGCTTTGTGAATTTGTACATCTATTTATCAAAATGACTACATTCATTCTGTGTGTCAGTCTGTGTTGAAAATGGTTTGGGTCCCACCCTGATGTCATGGATTTGACAGACATGTGACCAGGGTTCATATTCAGACACGAGACTGGCCAATTTCATTACCATCAAATTAACAGAGAGGACTTACGGGTGGTTGGCTTGTTGCAGTTGTGTCCGTGTCTGAAGTACTGAGGATTCTCTACCACAGGAATGCGAGTCATCCCTATGACAACCGCATCAGGACCCGCATCCAGAGTACAGGGGGTAATAATCCCGTGGTTGACGTGATGAAGAGGGCTGGCAGAGTCTTCCTCACCGCTGATCACAGCTACTGGACCTGGAGTAAGACAAAAGAACAATGACTTCATTTACAGTTCAAAGTGGGTTTTAATACTGTTGAATCGTGTCGATTTTACATGAGAACATACTTGGTAACTGAGAGGTAAATGCAACTTCCTGAGGTATTGCACATAAACAATGACATTGTGAAATGACTTTTTTTGTTTGTTTTTTTACATTTGAAATGAGCATTGTTTGCTTACTTATAGATTCTGGAATCTTAAGTATTTTTCTGTTTCTTAAAATGTATTTGTAAGAGATCTTAAACTGCAGTCATAGTCAACAAGGCAGCTTTATCAGGTGACATATGTCTAACTGTTAGAGAGGTGGGTGGTTTGTTTTCCGTCTACAGGCCAATGAAAATAAAGGGCAGCTACAGTACAGTGAATGTGACTTCATGTTTCTACCTGAACACACCCACACTAACCCAATTGTAAAATTCACTCATAAAGCAATTAAGCATTTTCTTGCTTGAGTTGACAAAAAACATAAGGAAACAAATTTAGTTCCATGGTTGTAACAATACTCTGATTACAACCTTCAGCTTACTAAAACTTTGACATTTAAACATCAGGATACTGGTTTAAAAAGTTTGAGAAACATAACCCTGTCTATATATATAGTTATAGAGACAGGGTGCTGTATATTATATAATTTCAAAAGACCAAATGTAGGCCTTCAAGAGTTATGTAAGATATGTAACATATCTAGTGTTGCCCATTTTACAATTTTATGTAATAAGGAAAAGCAAGTTAATTCTATTTTAAAAAATGTATTAAATGATTTCACAATGATGATACTGACTCATTCAGGTGTTTTATTTCCTGAACCAGAAGTTTTTGATTTGTCAAGTGAAGTCAAAAAAACAATGCTGAATTCGTCAAATGTGCACTCTTACACATCCATCGTTCGAAAATGACAAATTCAATCAGTAATTCACAAATACACTTTACCCACATTTACACACACATTTATTCCGTAGTTAGTTCTCATTTTCAAAACAACAGCTAATCTCCCATCTCAAACACAACCGGAACACTTCCTACTCATCTCACAATCACCTCTTGTTCCAGAACCCCGAAAGCATTTGTTTCCCAACAAGAAAACTTTATAACTCAATGACCTAAAACACCCTTTCAACAGATAACAGCTAAGGCACTTGTATAGAAGAGCTACAGATACAGCAATTTACCTGGAAAAAAAAAAAAACTCTATTTCCATTCCTGCAATCTTCTGCAGATATGTCCACCTTCATGAGAAAGAGAATTCCTCTAAAGGGCTGAGGAATGTACGGACAGCAAATTGGAGGAAAATGTGACCCCTGAATAGGGCTGTAAACCTCGGTGTTACTGCAAATGATGAGCAGCATATACCAAACTGCAGTCTAATTTATGGTTATTTTGTGTTATGTGATTGGATGTAAATTCAGCAGTTTTGACAATCGAGCGTCAAGTACATCCGGAAAGAAGCGTAAATATACAGAGCTTTGATGTGCAATGCATTTGTTGGCTTACGTTCATTGGTAAGTTTTTTTTCCCCACATATATTTTGAAGGAATTTTCCTCCTTTGACTAACAGCACAGATGTGGCACCAAAACTTTTCTTGTCTAATTTCAAAGAAAGGTCCTGCTTACTCAGAATTCCTTCTCCATCTGTAGACCTGCCACATGTCTAATGTCTTCTGCCAGAGACTGACATATGCAGAGGAATGTGCAATACACATGAAAGGCTCGTGTACGTACAAATGCGCCCTGTTATCAGGATGGCTTTCAGAACTGATTGTGCTTTTACATGTCTCAATTACTGCTGCTATTCTCCACTCTTCTCGGCCGAGTTTCACTAAATACTTCTGCGTAACACATCTGAGAGTCTCCTGTGAGTCCTTCCAGCACGAGTTAACCAGATAATGAGATTTCCATCACTTTATGAAACTGCACTGGAGTCTGCAGGAGGTGGTTGGGGTGGATAGAGGGCGTACAAAGTGTTTGATTCTCACACCAGAGAGTTCTCATCCAGACTCCCATCTGTGGTTAGGTTTACACCAATGAGCCAAAACATTATAACCACTCACAGATTAATTGAACAACGCTGATTATCTCATAACAACTGCGCCAATGTCAAGGTCTCGGATGCATTAAAGGGGAAGTGAACAGTCAGTTCACATAGTCAGTGTGTTGGGTGCAGGAAAAAATGGAGTTGGGGGGATGTGCTGGAACAAGTCTGATGCACAGCGGCTCCAACTCGCAACTTACAGGACTTAAAGGATCTGCTGCTAACGTCTTGGTGCCTGATACCACAGGGCACCTTCAGAGGTCTTGTAGAGTCCATGCATCTGCGGGTTGGAGCTGCAAAAGACGAACAGCATATTAGGCAGGGGTGGTCAAAATGTTTTGGCTCATCAGTGTAGTGACCGAAAGTGCTTTGGTTAAGGTTAGGAGAAGATGATCGTTTCGATTACGTAGAAGCAGCCATGTTGTTTTCAAAGTCAGTGTGGGCTTTACCTGTGTTACAACAGGCCACGATCTCTCACTAACCTTAACCAGTTGACCAAAGAAATTATTTCGCAACTACAAGTGGATTTTGTGCCGCAAGATCGGATACTCTGGAAACTGTCATCAGTGCACAAACTACGGATACGTTCGGTATCAACGCATTTGCAACTTGACAAATACATCAATTAGGAATGTTTGCAAACATTATCTGCTTGCAGTTATGTTTCATTTCAAGACTATTTGCTGTTGCAGTTTATCCGTCAAAGACATTTCCAAGAGACAGGGATGTAGAAAACAGGTTACTGAAGATTGTCAAAGCAATGGAAAGTGATTCACAGTTCAGGCCACGCTGACTTCTGTTGTGCTGACTGTGTGAAGAGTTTTGAAAAATGAACTCGGTATTCAGAAATGCGTGTTCGCAATTGTAAATTATGATCAGTAAAGGCAGTGCCAAAGAAGCAAGGCTGGTTGAATTTATGGTGCCATACAACACATTCCTGTCAATACCAAGCATAATTTCCTTTCTTTAATCAAAATTCAAAGAAAGGCCTGGACTTGATTTACTGTCAGCCAATGTGATCCAGTTTTCTGTTCTATCACTGCTGTGTCAAAACCAACGCAGAGCTCTGACAACTGCAATCTTCAGAGGGGAGTGAGGGGGGAGGAGGAGGAGGAGGAGGGAGGGGACGGGAAACGGCAAGTGGATATAAAGTCAACAGCGGCTGATTCAGTGGAGCAGTGACAGTGAATCTGTTTACCCACCATGTTGAGTCTTTTGCTCACCTTGACAACACTGTAAGTAGTAATCAAGACCCAGTCATATCAAATTATAGAGCCGCACTCACAGTGGGGGTGGGGTGGGGTGGAGGTGACTGTGTGATGCAGTGACACATGTGAGCAACAATTTATTCACAACATTTACTCTCATTGCAGGATTTTCATACCTGAGCGCTCTCTTTATTAGAGAAATGGGCACAGCAGAGCATAGGTCTTCATCGGGCGACTACCTACCCAACCACTGGGGACAGGTGGCACAATACAGCTCTAAATCTCTGCTGATGCCTCTGACCCGCTGCTACACGGCAAAGGCACAAAGATATATGTGCAATATACAGCTTCAAACATCAGTACGCTTGAAGTAAAATCATTACGTTGAAAATCATCATGATTCATGAGTAAAAGTCTTTAAAAATGAGAAAAGATACCTCAAAAGGATCCTAGGATTATGTTCTGCTTTTTTAATACAATATGAAATGGAATGAAAACCCATCTGATCAGACTCTGGTGCCAGATCGATGAGGCCTCAGGGAGCGCCTGGCCTCACTCCAAACCACAGCACTCAAAACTACACAAAAACCTCCCTTCTGATTTCTTGGGAGATGAAGGTTTTCTGAGGAGTGAGGGGGAAATTGGACTTCTTGACTCGAGAACATTCTAAAAATTGCATTTATGTTACCTGAGTGATGAAAAGGCCCAACGGCATCCGAGAGGGGTTTTATCATCTGAGACGATGCCTGTGCACAGAATGGAATTCAGCAGCGGACATTTTCCCCCCAAACGTCTATCTGAGAGTAAAGTTCCTCTCTATTAAACCAACTTTGATTTATTCAGGAGAACTGGAAAATGAAATGAGCCAACTCTCAACTATTTTCCCATTCTTTTCATGTCTCATCTTGTCCGCAACTTCATACAGCAAGTGGAATCAGCCATGCACTCCGATTGGCGGCTGGATCTGATTCAGACCTTGGCTAAGGACAGTGTGTTGCTTTTTTGGCCCTTTCCATTGTTTCTATTCCTCAGGCTACTGTGGTCATTTGTCTGCATTTATCTTACTCCTGTAATTAGTCTCGTACGTCCATCAATTTCATGATTTAAAGCTTGCAATCTGCACATTAAAGGAGTAGTTCAAAATTTGGGGAAAAATAGGTAGATGATCCAATCAATACTACTTACTTAAAGAGGTGATAGGTGATATCTTTTGGCAGAAAAAATCCACACTAGTCTTTCATCATATTGCAATTCAAGTAGTCTGAGAAGAAACTAGGCTTCTGCACCTCTTATTTGCTCAATTCCCAGGCTTTAACCAATCACAGGCCTTCACCAAGATCAGATAGTATATCTCGCAACATCTGAATGTTGGATGTGGTGGCACAACGGGTTAGATGGAGGACTTTCATTAATGAAAATGGGATTTAACTCACAGGTGAAGCCACAAACAAATATTGACTTTTAGTTTGACTTTCTGTCTAGTGGGAGGAGTTAAGTTTACAGATGGGGAGAAGGAAAAGCTGCAGGAGGAGGGCTGTATATTTTCCAGCGTTTTTTCTCTGCCTTTTCACGATCACTACCAACTTCAGCTTTAACGGGATGTGCAGGTATCAAATCTTTACGCAGTGATTATTGCCAGTAAAGAGTTGTGCTAAGATAAATTTTCATCTGCAGTTCATATCCAGTCCACAGAATAAAACTGCTGATAAAGTCAACAGACTCAGTGCTGTTCCCTTAG